GCACGGGTCAAGGTGTTCAGGTGTGTCAGGTGACTCTGCTGGGTATGTCACCTGTCTGCCAGCATCAGCAGGCTGGATTGAATCTCTCCTGCTCACTGCTGCTTGTTGTTGCCTGGGTTTGAGTGCTCTTTATTCCTACAGGGTGCTGGTGGAGGCACCTGGAGGTTTCCCTTAGCGTTGGCTTTGCCATGTGCCCAGCCCTTGGAGCTCTGTGTGTTGCAGCACCCCGAGCAGGGTGTGTTAAGTGAAGTGGGGCCTCACAGCCGTGTCTGCCCATGATGGGTCCCTGGCATGGAGCAGTGGTCGGATGGGCTCGTGCTGTAACGGGGCACACACGAGTTGGGAGTACTCTGGAATGGGGTTTGTGGGCAGGGGCAGCAGGATGGGCAGTGTTTGCTGGCAGAGCTCCTCCCTGTGCCCAGGGCATGCTCCACAGCCCTGTTTAGGCTGTAGCAGTCAAGAGATTTCTCCCACTAAAGCTTTACAGCTCCAGAGAGCTCAGCCAGATGGCTGCCAGCAGATCCTTCTGGAAAACTGATGACAGTTTGTCTTTGGGGTCGCTGGCAGGTCCCACTGCCGAGGGGCAGGGAGTGTCTGGTCTATTCAGTGTCGAAAGCCATGTTTGTTTATCCCCAGGACTTCAGCAATATTTTTGTGGCTGCAAGTGACCACTTTTGAGTATTGGCAAGCCCCTCTTTACCTGAAAGCATCAGCAGTGTTTTGAGGGCTGTTGGGGCTGTGCATGCCAGTGTGCGCTGCTGCTCCTTGGGGCCATGACTGTGGATGATTGTGGTTTTCAGGCATCGAGGTGTGTGACAAATAAGTGAAACTGGAAAGGTTCCTTGCAATCCAAATGGCCTCAGCCTTTCCCAGCCTAGGGAGGAGAGACCAGGCCTGAAGTGCCAGAAGCCCTGAAACAAACATGCTGATGTCCATTAATAAATGTGTGCCGATATCTGTTTTTACTCTGTTTCTGTTTGGAGAGGGTCACAGAAGGGAAACCAATCCTGCCCAGTGGAGAAGGCGTTCATGGGATGCCATTTATTTTGAATTATCTACAGAAAGTCAAGGGAAGTTGTATGTTAAGAGTAATTTAATGAATTTAAGCTGTAATGCCCTACCTGCTCCAGTCAGATGCTGAATAGGAAGGAACGAAGTGCAATTTGTCAGGGCCGTGGTAACGGCTGTGTTGCCATTAAAAGAATACGATCTTACAAAAGAGGTAGGATGCGAAATCCAGTGGAGTAATTAAGCTACTCATCTAATTGAAAGTTCTATGATTTATTGAGCCATAAACCCCAATTCTTTCCACTTACTGACCAGGACCTACGATATATGCTATCGCCTGATGGATTCTCATTTCCAGCTGGGCAATACGCTCCTTAAAAACAGTGTTAAAAATGTCACCAAGGAAGGCATCCTTCATACTAGGCAAGTGATTTAGCCCCATCTGAAGTCTGCAGCACATCAGAGTTATTCTTGCAAAGGACCCCGGGATCCCATAATAGATGTGTGTGCTGGCACCTGTGGGAGCAGAGCTCTTCAGGGCAGGAGGTGGTGGCAGGGGCGTTCAGTAGATTGTTTGTAGAGGTCACAGGGGAGATCAAGGTGCAACCACCTGCTCATAGAGCAGTTAGTGAGGTACAAATGCTTCTACTGATCACCAAAGCCTGGCCCTGTGCTGGTGAGGCAAGGGCAGTGTGCTCCTGGAGGGGTGGATGTGGTGCTGGTGATGGGTACTACTGGTAGTTCCTGGGTTGTTCTGCCACCCAGGACCAAAGCTGAGCAGCACCAGGAGGGATCAGTTTGCTTTCTTCCCTGTGCCATGCTGCAGTCCTTGGCTCCAGAGATCTCTGGTGCTGGAAGCCCCTGCAGTGTCCTGGTCTCATGATCACCAGGAGCTATTGTGGGCTCCCCAGCACTTCCTTGCAGCTCAGCTCCCTTGGAACAGCCAGGATGTCTCTCCTCAGCACCACCTCTGCCTTTATCTCTGCTGTTTGCATTCTTTGGCCCTTACCAGTCATTTCCTAGGGTCACCTGTGCCTCTGTGGCTCCTGGATCCTCCAGCAGGCTCAGGGTGATTGATGTCTGAGGATATTTCCAGCCTCTAAATATTTTTAGCTTGGGGGTTCCCTGGGCTGGATAAAAGTGTGTGTCTGGAATTGTAACGACAGATGATGATCTTTAGATGGGTGAATGTGGAAGTTGTTACACATCACTCGTGTGTGAAAACACACCTGTGGGTGTAGGATTCTGGATATTGCTGACACAGTGAATGGGAGAAAATGGGAATAGAGGAGGATTAAAGCAGTTAGGAGTTCAGTGATGATTTGTGATCTCTTTCCCTTAGCTTTTCATCTGGACAGAAGCCTCTGGAGTTCTGTGCTCCTGATCATAAATGCAATGAACTCTTGAAACCTCACAGCATCCCCAGTCTCCCTGGTTAATGCAGGGCTGCTGCAAGGTGGCTCTTTGTATTATTTTTTTCCTGTCAATTAGGTATTTCTTAGGCCATCTTTTCTTTAACCTGTACCGATTGCCTTAATTGACTTCCGCCTTAATTGGTAACAAATCATTTCCACTGAGCCCTTGTAGTTTCTCTGTGTCAATTGGTTCAGCCTTCCCCTGGGAGTGTGTGTGAGCTGCTGAGCAAGGCTGCAGGAGCTGGGTGGGAGATGCTGGTTCCTGTCCCAGCCATGTCTGCCCCATCACCTGTGACTTCCCCAGCTGTGTGGCTGCCCAGTGTCACACTGGTGTCCAGAAACCTGGCAGTCTCTGGCTGGTGACTGAGTTCACCCTTGTCACTGTTTTCCCCAGATGCTGCAGTTGCACCTGGGGCAGGATGACTTGAAATCATGAGAGGGAGAAGGTAGTGCAGCATATGACAAAGTTGGGAGTGAAATCCCAATGCACACTGTAAATCAAAGAAAAGGATCTTGGAAGAACACCCCTCCCTTTGTGGAGGGGGTTTAATTAGCTGTAACTGGAATATTATATGCTCCATGTTGTTGAAAATCATGGTTTGTTTTCCTTTGCTTGCATATGAATATGCTTACAGCATTTCTTTGTGCTAGTTGTTGCTCTGAAAGCTGCAGCTGACCTCCCAGAACACCCAGATGCAAAACCTGCGGCTGCCCATAGGCAAGTGGAAAGATCCTTTGTTCCTGAGAGAGGTCTTGCTTGGGTGTGATGAACAGGAGAGTTGGGTTGGAAGGTAATGGACACATCTGTCCCCAGCAGCCAGCCTGCCCCGTAGCAGATGTGTCTCCATGGAGCAGCTCATCCCTCTGGGATGCTCTCCCACGATGGTCAAGCATGTGGCTCTCGCCCCATGGAACTGTGCAACGCCCATCTGGTGGGTGAGAGAAAACCCATGTTGCCTTTTCCATAGGGGATGAAATCCCTGGCCCAGCAGCGGTCCCTGGGAGAGCTGCCTTGGTGTCCGCAGAGGTTGGGATTGTGCGGTTCAGCCGGGAGGAGCCCAGCCCTGTCCCCCGGTGAGTTGGAGAAGGAGCCTCAGGGCAGAGCAGGCAGTGCATGAGCTGTCTGTGAGGCTGGGGTGAGCTGCCACTTCCTTATTTACCCCGTTTCTGAAGCAATCACACCCGACCAGCGTGTTCACACTGGCTGGTGCTGGCGCGGGTTCCCCGGTGCTGGGGCGTTCGGTGCCGCTCGCGTTCCCAGCACCGCTGCAGGATCAGTCACGCTCCTCCAGCGCTGCCAGGCGTGTTTCGGCGGGATGAGATGCTCCCCTCCCAGCCCCAAAACTCTTCGCTTGGCAGGGGTTGAGGGAGCTCACGGGATGGCTGCTCCAGGTGCCTGGTGGGTCAGGAGCTGCCAGATTTCCTCCTGCCCTGCAGGTGCAGGCAGCAGGACATGGCACGCTGTGGTCCCTGACTCAAGGGTGTGGGGTGAGTGTGTGCTGTGCTGAGCAGAGTGCTCCCCTGGGGAGAAACACTGTGCTGTGACCACCCTGACCCCTGGCAGGGTTTCTGGGTACCTGAGATACAGTGGGGTGGCCTTCTGGCTCTGGGCTCAGCAAGGCTGGAGCTGGAAACCTGGAAAACACGGGACTTTTTCTCTCCCTGTGTCAAAGTATGTTACTCTGTCATTGCTCTAGACCAGATCCCTGCATCCACTCCTGTCCAGCCCTGATCACCCAACTCCATGCTTTGAGAAGAGCCTGGATGAGGATGATCCTGTGTCCTCCAAGGTGCAGCCTCCTGTTTCCCACCCAAGAGGCTGTCTGGGCACCATGGTCCTCTGAGCAGCTCTTGGGCTACCAATGGTCTGGAAATGTAATTCCAGCTGCAGTGGTGGTGACAGACTTGGGACTTGCAGGTGAAAATGTCCCCAACTCCTCCGAGGTCATCCATACCCCATGGGCAGAGCAGAATCATTTGGAGGGAGCTTGCTGCCAGGACAAGAAATGTCTGACACCTTCCATCTTATGGAGCTGTCTGCCTCCAGTGAAATTTCTCTAATGAGTTGTCCAGATTGCTGCCAATGCACCCAGTTTCCTTGGAAAATGCTTTGAAAAGGAGTCAGGAAGGACCACCCTGATTAGAGGGGCAGCCCTTGACTCCCTTTCCATGAGCTCTGCTCTGGCACCCAGCAGCCTTCTGACAAAGCATGGATATCCTTTGGAGGGGAAGGGAGGTCTCCTCCTCAGTGCAGGGATGACTCGTGGAATCAAAATAGCTGGCAATAGAAAGATTTGTGAAAACAATCCCTGCAAAGCATTTTCTCCACCACAGCTGGAGCAGTCCCAGCAGGAGCCTCGCCTCTCAGGAGTCACAGGCAGGGGCAGGGGCCAGACTGGAAGCTGTGTTCCCAGCCAGCAATAATACAGATGGAAATGCCAGGAGCAGCTTTGTAGTCCTGCTGCTGTGAGGTGTGATGAAGAGTCCAGAAAGATGAATAATCACCTCTGGAAGGACTGCAGGGGTGAAATGGGGGAGATGTAACCCCTAAGAATGCCCTGTGGTTCTGCTGGGGTGTTCTGCCTTGCCCAGAGTGCATGGCAGGGTTTTTGGGACTGTGAGCTTGGGAGCCTTTGGAGGGATCTGCAATTAGCAGAGGTGACAAATGGGCTTTCTGCTGGTGCTGAATCACTGAATCACCACGCTGTGACCCCTGGTGATGGCCCTGTATTGCATCCTGCATGTCCTTTCCAAAGCTGAGGAGAAAAGCTGGCACCATTCTATTTGCTGGACAATTACTGTGTATGCTCTCAAAAAGCTTTCCTGCTTCAGCAGCACTTTAAATCCAAGAGACAATCTGAGTTTGACTTGGCCAAGTGACAAAGGCCATTTCCTTTCTGATTAGCCCGGTTGTCGCTTGGCTTTCCTCCCTTTCCATCCATATCTGCTCATGGAGGTCTCTGTCTGAGGACATTCGGGGGGCTTGCAGCTTGCAGAAACGTGGTGGATGCAGTACATAATCTGGGCTATAATTAATGTTTGTTGTCATCATCTTGCTAAGTATCTGCAAGTATCTGGGTAAGTTCAAAGACCTGCCATATTTGCCTTCAGAGGGTGGGAAGAGAGAGAGGGTGGGAACTCCAAGAGTTCCCCAAGGACTGGGGCGTTCAGCTGCTGAGAACCAGGGTGGGCAGTGAATGCAGACGGGGATTTGGAACCTCGGGCTCTGCCTGGCTCCTGAGAACAGCCTGAGGGGAGCAGGAACGTTCTGTTCCTTGTGTGCAGTGGGCACTGGGGTGAGTGGTCTCATGTCCTTGGGCTCTGGCTGCAGTGAGGACAGCCAGACTGCTCCAGGGCACAGACCAAACCCAACCTGGGTGGGCACCGTGATGCTCCCTGCTATGCTGGGCACCCTGCATAATCTGTGTGGCCCCAAGGTGTGAGCTGAGGCCGTGGGAGAGTCTAGGACCAGGAACTGGTGCAGATGGTGGGGTTTGATTGTGGTCACACTTGCTCTTAGCTCCCCTTTCAACCAAGACACCGGTGCAGGACAGTGGGAAAAGGGATTGTGGGGCTTTGTCCATCACAGCACAGCCTGGCTGGTAGGGCAGAGTGCTTGGCAAGAGGAGGCCTGGGAGGAAAGAGGAGTAATTAATATGAGAAGCTGGAAGGATGCATGCACTGAGCAAACCCTCTGCTTTACTCTTTTGTTTTTTCCTTTTTTGAGCATTATCATGTTGGTGGATGAAAGGGCAGGCCTGGAAACCTCCCTCAGCTAAGGCTGCAGTGATTCTTGTCTTAGAGAGGTAAATGAGGATTCAGGAGCTGAGGTGGAGAAAGCCTTAGAAGGCTAGGGACCAAACCCTTGATGAAATGTTGAGTTTTCCCCCATTCTTATGCCCCAGAAGGAGCTTCCCTGGGAGAGATTTCAGCTATCAGCAGACTCAACACGTGTTACTTACAGCTCCTTCCCTGCCTAAATGCAGGGAGCACAATCCAGGCCCCTGTGCTGTGGTCCGGGGATGGTGCCAGGAGCAGGACGGTGGAAGCTGCTGATGGTATTGAGGCCTGGGAGAAACAATTCATGATAAGGCAAGTCCTGACCTGAACTTGTGCCCAGTGGTTTTCAGTGAGAAGGGAGCAAACCTACTCGGTGGTGTGAGAAACCTCGTCAAACTTCCTTGTTTAGTTTTCCCACAGCCCTGTGCTTCCTGCTTGCCCCGGTGCTGGAAGTACTGAGATAGCATCAGGGGGGCCGTGCTGGTGGGATCTCTGTCCGGCAGGAGCAGGATGTGCCAGCCATCCCCTGGGACAGCCCCGCGAGCATGGGAAGGGCTCGGGAGGCTGCTCTGGAGCAAGGGAGGCTGCCCGCTCCCTGGGGTCATGTTCAGGATCAGATCCTGGCTAAATGATAAACCTGAGTGAGGGGCACAGGATACCTGGGGGGAAGGATTGCTGCCCTGGTTACAGGAATTAATTTTCAGGGCAATGGTCCCTGCCCAGCGGGAGGGTGTGTGGTGCCTCCACAGACTGAGATTATTGGAGGGGGAAAAGGGTGGGACGCGAGTCTGGCTCTTCCTCCCCCTCCACAGGTCATGGGCTGTAAATTGGCGCAGCCTTTCTGGGCATAAGGAAAAATACCAGTCGCCTGCCAAGGAAAACAATAGGTCTTTCCACTGTTGAGCCACGTCCAGACAGTCTGGGCCTGTGTCCAGCCCCGCACTGGCGCTCAGCTTGGCCTCCTCTCGCCAGAGCTTTAATGGGAAGGAAAGGAGAAGCAGCGGAGAGTAATGAAACAGAGGAATGTCTGTGACATTTTTCTAAAAAGGAAAAATGTGGAGTTTCCAGTCAAACTGAAAGACTTATTGGGTTCGCTGGGAGGCTAAGTCCAGCTCCTTAGGACAAACTGCTAGATAAGGAAAACAATTTAGTCCCAAGTAATATTCACTTCAGGATGGCCTAGACTCTGCCAGAATCCGTTTTGACTGCACTGTACTCATTGATTTTTTTTTCTTCCCAGGTCTTCAGCAAATGTGGCCCTGCTGGTCCACTCTGGAGAGCCAGGATGGCGCTGCTTGCCCAGCACTTGCCCACTCTCCTGGACTTGGTGTTCCTGAAGCATCTGACAATTCCTGACCCAGCAGCTGCTATGCAAAAGCCACAGGAGCTTGGGAATAATATTGATCCCAAATGATTGACTAATAATTGGAATTTCATGGCACACTCACAGGGTTTGTGCAGTGATCACTGTGCTGTTTATTTATATAAAATAAATATATTTTATTTGGGGTCTGGCTGCTGGCAGGTTCTCCCTGCAGCTTTCTGGGGCTGTTTTACACTGGGCAGTGCTGGTGTGGGGCACACGCAGTGACTGAGTGTGGTGGGGAGATTTTGTCTGCTCTGGAAGTAGAGGACAGCCCAGGAGCAGAAACTCAGGAGATCCTTGCAGGAGCAAGCAGTTAATTACAGCAATGGCCAGACATCTATTGCACTTTCCCTTGCTGGTCTGGCAGTGCTGTGTGGAGCAAGGACAGGCAGCTCCTGCTGGGAGAAAACATATGAAGAGTCCAGTATGATCAAATTTTGGGCCCAGTTAGGAAGCGTAGCACAGTTGGTGCTGTGTATTTCAATATTTTTGAAGATGTTTGACATTTTGCCCAGAGAACCTGTAGCTAATAGCACATATTATGTGGATTAAAAATTGGCTTAATGACAGATTTCAAAGTCTGGTCAGTAATGGCAGTGTTGCTCCCTGTGGTGTTCCCAAGGAACATTCTGACATGATTTAATGTGTGATTTAACAACAATGATGATAAAAAACCCTTTGCTGGTAGTGCCTGCAGATGACACAGAGATGGGTGGTGTCAGCAGTGAGGGCAGAGCTGTGACTCTCCTGCTTCAATGGTCACAAGCCAATCACCACAGAACTAAATGCAAGGTAACCCCCAAGAGATGAGGTGGGATCCCCAGTTTCTGTGGATGGGGTGCTCCCACAAAGCTCTGAGCCAGCAGCAGGTGTGGGGGAATGTCAGCTGACACCAGGACTCTGGGGCTTTGGTGTAAACCTCCCCCTGCCTTGCTGTTGCTCCCTGTCTAGGGCTGTGCCAAGGACTTGTACAGTTTTTAGATGAAGTTTCCCAACATGGAGCTGAATTTTGGATTTTATTCCTCAACAGACCCGTGTGACTCCTTTGCCTGTCAGGAATGGTGTAATTCCTAGCCTTTCCCAAGCCTGTTTGTGGGTGAAACACTCACCATTTGTGTTTCTCTGTGTGTTTCCCCTGTGCCCCTCGGATGGAGAAGAGGGTCTGCAGCCCGATTCCATCTGAGCTGTGCTTTGTTGCTTGCAGCAGAGTGGCACAAGGCTGGCTTCAGCTGGAGGGACAGAAGGGAAAATCCAAGCATGACAATATTCCCTCTGAGGGCAATTACTCTCAACAGGCAACAGCCACAGCTTGAATTCTGGCACCTCGAGTCCTGCTCTTCCTCCCTGGGCTGCTTGGAGGGTTTGTCTGATGCAGAAAGTGAACTCCCTTGCTGGAAGCCCATGTAGCCTCAGCGATAGCTACAGGGATCTCATCAAGAAGGAATTTCTTGGCAGGGGATAGGACCTGTCTGCCATATGGTTTCCATGTTTGGAGCAGAAGGTGATCTGTGGAAATGGAAGAAAAAAAATTCTGAACTTCTGTGGCTGATTTTCACTAGAGACTAATTGTTGAGTGCAGCCCCATAGAGGGACCAGGGACAGGGCCAGCCCTCAGCCCCAGCAGCTCCCAAGGCATTTCTCGCAGTAATGCTTCAGGACCTCCTCTACAGAGCATGCTTGTCGTCAGGAGACTTGAGATTTGACAGCTCCAATATCTTTTCGAAGGGGCTCAGACAATAAAAAAATAAAGACAATAAAATGTAAAACTCTCCAGAGCGTAAAATGTACAAATGATGGTCACGTCCTGCCCAGCTCCAGCTTCCCACTGCCCCCCTGGCCTGCAGGAGATGCTGCTCCATCAGCAGCTATTCAAAGGGAGAGCCTTGGCTGGTGCTGGGGAGATGTTGACTTTGGGGCTGCATCTCTGAAAAACCAGTTTTCCCTTAGTGTGAGGAAAGCTGGGAACAGTCTGTTGTGAGGAGATGCCTTGTAAATGGACTAATCTGTCACCTCTGCTTTTCTGGCGTCCTGTTCTTCAGCCTGAGGAGGTGGAATATGTGCTGTGACCTCATTAAAGGGTTTTTGCACTCTCCCACCTTTCTCCTAAACCTGGTGCTAAGCCAGTAGAGCACATTCCTGGGGGCATAATATCTGACTGTCTAACTGGATAAATGAACAAATCTGATCTGCCTCCTGTAATGGTTTGTCTCAGAGAAATGCTCGTTTACTTAAAAGCTGAGCCAGGAGAGTGAAGCTTATGTCCTGAAAGTGCTGGAAGCACAGGAATGGCTCAGCTGGAATGCCAGGAGTGCTCTGCCACAGAAACATGAATTTGTCCCTTGTGGAGGGGGCAGTAAGAGCTCCCCAGGAGAGGGCACAGGCACTGTGGGGCTGTGGGGAGCCATGGCCTGGAGCTGAGGGTGAGAACCTGCTGTGACACTTGTGTACACATGAGGAGAGATGTGAGACTGAGTCTGGGGGCTCGAGCTCAGCAAGATGCTCCTCGGCCTGGCTAAGAATCCACCCTGCTCTGTGAGGGCCTGGATCACACAGCACAGCTTCCAACTGGCAGCAACAAAGCAGGATAAATGGCTGAGCAGACACAGAAGAAAAGTTTCTCTGTGCCTGACACACAAAGACACTCACTACTTTTGAACAAATATTTAGGCCATTTCTGTTGCCAAAATCATCACAAGGACACATGTTTGCAGCAGAGCTGTGACCCATGGTGTCCTCAGACCTGCAGCCCTCAGAAGGCAGCTCAGAGCCTCTCCAGGGCACCAGCTGGCCAGCAGGGAAGGGACACAGAGCCCTGGGCAGGAGAGGTGGTGCTGGAAATGGGGTATCATGGATAGGATTTTATGTGTGAGCCTGGGCCTGGCAGCTGTTGGTCTCTGCTGCCTGTGCTCATGGTGATGGTCGGGATGCTGGTGTCACCATTCCCCCGTGCAGGGCCACTGCCTGTCCCTACTGGGCCAATATCTGTGGCAGGAACCAGTGATCCTTCATGTGGGGTGGCTGCTCAGAACCTTGAGAAGTGCTCTTGTAGCTTATCCCCTGCTGCCTCCCCATGCCCAGTAAGGAGCCGTGGGTGCCTGTGCTGTCTGTTCCCAGTGTGCCACAGGCTGGTGACAGCTGATCTCTCTGTGCCCCTTCTATGAGTCACCACTCGCTTGGGAAGTTCTTGCTTGTTCTTATCACCAGAAGGTTGTGCCCTGGCATGTTGCTGCTGTCTTATGGGGCACCTGCCTGGAATCTGGGGTGAAGCGATGCTGGAGCTGGGAGCTGCCCAACTTTCTGTGAGAGGAGACCTCCTTTGTCCTTCCTGTGGGCCAGAGTGACAACCAAAGTGGCACCATGTGGCTCTCCTTAAGTGTCTTGCCTCCATTCTGATGGAAATGTTGCTAATCAGCAATGACTAAGGAGAGCCAAGTAAAGAGCAGTTGGTGTATTTGAATTCTTTTGACATCTTTGCAGTGTTTCTGTAAAGGCATGGAGTGTTTTAAAACATGAAATGTAACATCAAAACAGTAAAAGTAGATCAGAATGTTCTGTCTTGCGTTTCAAACAATGCCCTGGAAATTTCCAACTCTTTCCTGTTTGTCCCAGTGCTTGCTGGACTCCTCTGGTTGCCATCCTTCTGCTGTTTATGATGGCAAAGCTATTTGATTTTTCCTACTCACAGGCATCGATCTGGAGGCATTTAGCATATTTTGCTAAAATAGCCTCTCCAAAAGTTTCCTAGCGCGCTCAGGCAAAGTGGAAACATTCCGGTTCCTTCTATGGGTTGGGCTGCCCTGTCCTGTTGGAGGCAGGAGCCCTCCCACCGTCCCCCAGCGCAGGGCAGGCAGAGCCCGCCCGGGCTCGTCCCAGGAGGAGCACTGGGCTCCAGCCAGAGTTCAGCTCCAGTAGTTCCAGCCGAGGACCCAGAACCTCTCCTG